TTATTTCAAAAGAATAGTTAACGTCATACATAACAGATGGCAGCACCAGTATCTTAACTTACTACTACACATTGTTAATATTCAAAACAACACCCCCACTATATCTAACAATGTAGTGCATAAATAAACATCAAACATCTTGAACACCTAACTCTTTCAAAAAATTATAATGTTTGACAGTACAAAGACTCTTTGTAAATATATCAGCGGGCATTTCAGCTGTCGGCAAATACTTAACATTCACAATTTTATTATTTATACAATCTCTACAAAAGTGATAGCGTATATCGATGTGCTTAGTTCTCTTGTGAAAAACTGGATTTGCAGTCAGCTTTAGTGCACTCTGATTATCATTATAAATATCAATAGTGTACATTTTCCTTGTAATCTCATATTGCAAGTTCCTTAAATATACAGATTCTTTACATGCTTCAGTTAAAGCCATGTATTCTGCTTCGCTACTAGATAATGCTACAGTTTTCTGTTTTTTTGTTTCCCAGGAAATTACACAACCAGATAACATAAAACAAAGACCGGTATAGGACCGTCTGTCAATGCTGTTACCACCCCAGTCAGCATCAACATACCCTTCCAATATAGAACTTGTGTTAGCAGTATATTTTAAGCCATAACTTTTTGTATGTTTCAAATATCTTAAAATTCGTTTAACATATGCACAATGCTCTGCAGTATAGTTATTATTAAATTGACTCAAATAACTTACTGCAAATGCTATGTCGGGTCTGGTGAGTACAGCTAAATACATGAGACAACCTATGATTTGCTGATAAGGGAATTTACCTATATATTTCTCACTATCAGATACATTCAATTTAGTCTCCATTGGAGTCTGTACAGTTTTACAATCTGTCATATTAAATTTTTGCAATAACTGATCAATATAATCTTTCTGACTTAATGAAATACAATGTTTAGATTTATTAACAATCACATTTACACCAAGACATTTCTTAATTTCACCCAAGTCTTTAATTTTAAAGTGACTAGCTAAACATTCTTTTAAATATGTGGTTTCTTTAATATTATTAGAAAATATGAAGAAATCATCCACATACAGAGTGACAATAGTTTTCAACTTATCTTGAATTTTTAAATACATACATGGTTCTATTTTAGATCTTATGTAACCAATTTTAAGCAAACATTCATCCACTTTCTTGTACCATGCTCTAGAGGACTGCTTTAAGCCATATATGGCCTTCTTTAATTTAAGAACCTGACCTCTTTGTGTCTTCTCAGAAAAACCTTCAGGTAACTGCATATAAATTTCTTCCTCAAGAGCACCATTCAAGAATGCAGTTGTCACATCAAGATGTGTTATATCAAGATCGAGTTGGACAGACAAGGCAAACAATAATCTTAAAGTGGTATGTCGCACAACAGGAGAAAATGTGTCCGTATAGTCTACACCTTCAACTTGTGTAAAACCTTTAGCCACTAAACGCGCACGAAATCTGACATTATTATCACTGTCATATTTTTTACGCAACACCCACTTGCACTGAACAACTCTACCGTCTTGTGGAGGATTACTCAACTCCCAAGCTCCATTGTCTTTGAAGCACTGTAACTCTTCACACATAGCCCTCTTCCACTGCTCCTTTTCAGGTCCATTTAAGGCCTCATGCAAAGATAGGCCAGCCGCATCATCATAAGTGTCATTCACACATAGGTTTGAAACACCATATCTGTCTGGTACCTTCCTAGTTCTTTTAGATCTGACTCTGTCTGCATCTATATTCTGAAGTGTGCTGTCAGCATCTTCGTAGTCACTTGGAACATATGTGTCATCATCATTCTCAAGTGTATCTGTACTGGTACTACAGGGTTCGCCTTCGTTGGAATTTGATTCCAATGACATTGTTTCGGATATTTCCATCTTGACTTCATCATCCCCCACTGAATCAAAGATCTGACCCTGAACTTCCATCTGACATTCAGATTTTGATTCCTGCTCAATAACTATGACATCTCTACTGGTCAATACAGTCTTTGTTTCTGGATTATAGAGTCTATATCCTTTTATGTTTTCAGGGTACCCGATGAGAATACACTTTTGTGACTTCTTGTCCCACTTCTTCCGTTTTTCTTTAGCAATATGGACCATCACAGTGCTACCGAAGATTCTGATATTGCTAACATCTGGTTTAGAGCCAGTCCATAGCTCATATGGAGTTTTATATCCTAGTGCCTTAGTCACGATACGATTTTGCAGATACACTGCCGTGTTGGTTGCTTCACCCCAAAACTCTTTGCCTAAATTTGCGTCAAAGAGGAGACATTTTGCCTTTTCAACAATTGTACGATTAAATCTCTCACTTAATCCATTTTGTTGTGGTGTGTACGGATTGGTTTTTTGATGAATGACTCCAGCATTATTCAAATATTTGTCAAATTCTTTGTTGCAATATTCTAGCCCGTTGTCACTTCTTAATACTTTGATTGTCTTCTTTGTTTGATTTTCCACCAAAGCTTTGAATTCTTTGAAACATTTCAATGCTTCATTCTTGTGCTGTAGAAAATACACAAATGTCATACGGCTATGATCATCAACAAACAACAAGAAGTATCTTGAACCACCCAGAGATACATTCTCCATAGGTCCACAAATGTCTGTGTGCACTAGGTCTAGCAAGTTACTACTTCTCTCTGCAGTATTATTGAATGGTAGGCGGCACTGCTTACCTTCGCAACATGTAGGACATGAGGATTTGCTTATGTTCACTTTCTCATCAATGGACATACCTAGCACTGCATCCTTCATTTTGTTCAAATAGTATGTATTAGCATGTCCAAATCTGCGATGCCATACTTCTCCTGACACAACTGATGCAGCTAAATGCACTTTGTTTGATAGGTTAACTTTGTACACTCCATTTACTAACGACGCTGTAGCCACCAACTGATTTTTCTTGTTGTAAACAAAGCAACCGCTGTCAGAAAACGATACTTTGTTTCCTTTTCTTATTAGTTGGCTGACAGATAGTAAATTTGTTGTGAGAGTAGGTACACAAAACACGTCTTCTACCACTATATCATACTCGTAATCATCAGTCGTAGTCGTTATTTCAACATCGCCGGAACATAAAACTGACACCTTTTCGCTATTTGCAACAATAATCTCCTTTTCTTGTGTATAAGAAGCATTGATGACCCAATTTTCATTTGCTGTCAGATGTACGCTTGCGCCGGAGTCAATATACCACTCATTTCGTTTGAAATTTCCACTCAGAAACACTGCACTAAACGCATTAGACTGTGATCTTGATTTATTTTTGGAATTTTCATTATTTGTAATGGCCGGTTTGTTTACATCGGTAACATCTAACCGATTTCACTTCGTTCGATTTGTCAGCGTTACCAACATTACCATGTTTCTTTACAGACAAACTCGTATTCTTTTTAATGTTCTTATTTGAACGAGAGTGAGTAGCGAATGCACCATTAACTTCATTCTCATCTTGTTCGGTCATTGACTCCATGTCCAATAATTTGGTTTTGATTGAATCGGCCGTTATCGCAATCCCGGAATGCTCGATTGCCATGATCATTGGGGAAAAACGATCAGGTAATCCCGCCAACAGCAACGATCCTGTCCACTGATCATTAATTTCAAAGCCAGTACCACTTAACTTCTGTGCTGTATCAATGATCTGCGTCACGTACGCCGTCATTGAACTGGAACTTTCTAGGCGAATAGAAATTAAATTACGCAGCAAACTTATTCTTCTCGAAAATCCATTATCATCGAATAGATCCTTCATTTTCTGCCATAATTCCTTCGAAGTCCGTGCATTCCTTACGTGTACATATAAAGACGGGTCGATTGTCATGATCAACTTAGCTTTGGTTTTTTCGTCATCTGCAGCTCCTACGGTTATCCCGGATTCTGGCTTTACACAATGTTTCATGCCTTCTAGGATTAGGAAATTCTCTGCCGCGAAACACCATTCGCTATAATTTTCGCGTCCCTTTAACTTAGGAACATTTACAAGGTAGTTGGAAGACATTGTAACAGTCAATCACAAATTCACCAAAATACACTTTAATCTGCGAAATATATTGACAATCCGCCACGAGACAGTTCAATCGCCTTTTTATTAACACTCGAACACTGCTTACAGTTCGAAATACTTGTTATTTCACTAGCGATTAAAATAAAACTCGCGGGCGTTGCGGGCCCATAACCTATAATTAAACAACGCACGTTGGTTGACAAGCTACAACTGACTTTTATTTCAAAAGAATAGTTAACGTCATACATAACAGATGGCAGCACCAGTATCTTAACTTACTACTACACATTGTTAATATTCAAAACAACAATAACATTTCAATTTACTTCAGGGCAGACTACCACGAAGCTCTAACAAACTACGAGAAAAGCATCATAACTGAAAACACAGACGACATCAAAGTAAAAGAACATAATGATAAATGCGAAGCGGGGATCGCACGAATGGCGATACGATGCGGTGACGTCATGCGGGGACTTACCACTGCAATGAAACACTCGCACGACATTATGCTTATAAAGGAATGTGCCCAATTACTAGAAGAAGAGAAACAGTACAGTCACGCCGCAGCCCTATACGACCATGTAGGGAACACAGAGAAAGCAGCGTCCCTATACATCAAGCTAAAATCCTGGCTCAAAGTCGAAGCTCTACTCCCAAAGATCAATTCACCCAGCATACATATACAGTACGCAAAAGCGAAGGAAGCTGAAGGGAGATATCAAGACGCCTTAAAATCCTACCTCAAAGCCCAAGACTATGAAGCAGCGATCAGACTGAACTTAGACAAATTAGATGATATAGACGAAGCAGTCAATTTAGTTCAAGAAACAAAGTCAATACAAGGAGCTAAAATGGTAGCGAATTACTTCCAAAATAGTGATGACCCTACCTCAGCAATAAAGTTCTTAGTCATGTCCTTGTGTTATGATGAAGCGTTTCAACTTGCAAGGAAGAATGGCAAACTGCAGTTGTATGGAGAAATATTGATTCAGACGTCGCAAGCAAGGCCGGAGGACTTCAAGAGTTTAGCGTTACATTTTGAAGGGGAAAAGAATCATTTGTTGGCTGGGAAGTTCTATTTCCATGCTGGGGAGTATAATAAGGCGATGTCTCATTTGTTAAGGAGTGGAGGGTCTGAAGAGGAGGAGAATGAAGCGATTAGTATAGCTATTGATGCGGCCGCTGCTAGTGATGATGAGAGATTGAGTCGGAGGTGAGAAAAGTTATTATTGTATTCTTCTACAATTCATTCTGACGGCTTAGTATGAGTTTGTTTTACGTTTAAAGTAATCGAAACGAGTACGCGCTATGATTGGTTGGTTTTTTTTAGCCGGCCAATCAGAGCGCCGAAGAACGTTTCATCATTTCGATTACTATTATCGCGTTCTCTCGATCCATTTTTTTTAAGCCTTACTTTAAGCTTGATTCATTCAGTCTTTAAATATACTAACATTACCATTACATTACATTTACCTAATCAGGTGATTTTCATCAGTTTACATTGATGATTTGATGGCTATAAAAGTAGAAAAAAATTGATTCCAGGTTGATAGAGTTCCTCCTTGGCGAGACTGACGGTACTCCGCGTGAACCACGACACTTGTTCCGATTGTACATGGCCAAGAGGCAGTTTGCTGAAGCTGCTAAAACTGCGGTAAGTTGGTGTATAATTTTATTATTTAATAAATGAATACCATACCATACCAGTTGAATAACTGAACTTCCTTTGTAGACACTCAAGTATTCTTTTAATAGTCTATTTCGAAAAGTACTTTTAAAAAATAATAAGAAGTAAAACCGGTTATGGATGGTCCTATAGAGAACATTTCTTAACTTATAACAGAACTAGAAAGTTTATTCTTTATCGTTATAATGTCTTTGGGACAACAAATTTTTGGTCCAACTATGTTTTTATTACCAGGCAGTTACTGTACCTTAGTAAAAGTTGAATAAACTTAACACAATTTGTTTCAGATTATAATAGCGGGCGCAGAATGTCGCGCGGGTGCGTACCGCGAGGCGCGTGACGTAGTGCGCGCTATGTGCGTGTCGCTGCGGGGCTCGCGGATGCCCGTACCCAGGGACATGAGGCATGCCATCGCATTGCTGCATAGCTACATACTGGTGGGTATCGAGCTTCGATATAATCTATGCTAAGTAATTTATGGTTGTAATGAAACGTACTGGACCAAGCTAAGTATTCGTATGCGGTGCGTTGAACTACGCTGAATAAAGATTACTAATTCCTTAAAAATAAATCTTAAAAATAGCGTTATGTACCCCATACTATGATTTTCTCCTGTGTCTTGGGGTCTCTTTACACATGAAACCCAGACCCGACATAGAATGTTAGCAACCTAAGCCATAGTGGGCTATTGTGTTGTGGCCAAGTCGGGCCGTGTTGGGCAATTATACAGCGTATTGAGCTATGTAGCTACATATTAGCACGTTCATCTAAGTTTTCTAATTTTATTTTTGTTTAGATAACATAATACTTTCATGTTATAAAAAGTCATCTTATAGGTCCGTACCCACGTAAAACGTGGCCGTCACGACTTGGCTGCTAGACTGCTCTTACGCACTGCCGCTGACGTCACATTCTTCCCTACACCACAGCGTAAGTGACCTAGTTCAATTAGAAGTATGACATTTAGGGTCGGTTTCACATACTCAAAAAGTTTATAATAATGTATATGGATTACAGATCAAGTATCGATTCTAACATCGACGGTCATCGAATGCAGTCGTGCTGGTTTGAAGCATCAAGCCTTCCATTGGGCTAGAGTGTTAATGCAACCTGAATATCGGTCACAGGTAATTTATATCATTGATATTTTTAACCGACTTCAAAAAAAGGAGGAGGTTCTCAATTCGACCGTATATATGTTTATAAGTTAATGATTTACTAAATAACTATAGAGTTGGATATGCTTATGTATGTTGCAATATATTAATCTATAGAACGTAATATATGGTGATATGTAGTGGATAAGATCAGGAGTCACGGTCCTTAGCAGTAAGTGAAATGACTAAGATGAAGAAATTAGTATCATTTTGGTGACAAAATAATACCATTTTTGATCATATCATATTACAATGAATATGTCCGTCTATCCTGTAAAACAGATTCCGTTACAAATCTATATATTTTCCCTTCAGATTGACCCAAAATATGTGAAAAAGATAGAGAGCGTAGTCCGGCACGGAGCCCGCGAGGCGGCCGCGCCCGCTGTGACGTCCCCGTGCCCGCAGTGCGGCGCCGACCTGCCGGTCGCAGACCTCACTTGTACGCACTGCGAGGTCGATGTACCGTTCTGTTTGGCTTCTGTAAGTATTTTACTTATTATGGAAAAAGCAAACTTGGTCAGTCGACTGAAACTTCATCTTCATAATTATTATTATTTACCGAAAACCATGGAAAATTATTCTTAAGGTTTCTTAATGGGGCGCTCGAAAGGGATGAATTACTAATCAAGGGTGATTTTGGCTATGTTTTTTACGCTTTTTTTTGAGAGGGAATATCATCCATTGTCGTCTGACAATGTGTGACCCCGTTCCTACTCCTGCGCTTCAAGGCGGGGCCCCGGCAACCCGTCAAGTCCTCCGCGGCTCCGTATCTGCATCGGCCCTATTGGGCCTCATCCGTGGTGGCCTCATGGCTCCTTGAGTCGGGTCTGGTCGGGCGGCGAGACAGTCGTGCTCGCCGCCCGCAGGCCCGTGCTTATGGTGGCCGGAGATCGATTCGCGATCCCCGGCGCCTAGAGTGTCTCCCGCGATATGGCTGGGGCGTGAGTTGGTTCGTTCCCTCACGCGCCCTGCCTCCTCCTATATTTTTTACACTTTGCACCTGCATATGATGTAGTAATATTTGAATTTGTATAAAAGTATGTGTATTATATTTGTGTTATGTTAATACATCATTTGAACTACCACGCAAACAACTTAATATATTTACAGGGTCTACACATCGTGAAGGATGATCTGACTGCGTGTCCGGAATGTGATTTTCCGGCTATTCTCACCGAATTTGTAGAGTAAGTACTCAGTACGCATTTCTTCTATCGTTTTTGTTTATGTTGAAAGTATGTATGACAAATATAACTTGGGTGTCTTCAAGGCCCGAATGAACAGGTTGCTCATTGGTAGGCGAGCTCCATCGTCAGCATCATCATTGCTTACTACCAGGCCAGATGGGGGACAAACGTTGACCTATCAAGTGTAAAAAAAAATGTATGAGGACTTGTGACATAATATTCAGTAAATAAGACTTTTATTTAAACACTGGTTCTTTTACTACTATTTTTCCATATTTGGAGGACGGTAAGACACAATAAGTTTTTAAAAGGTTTATTTATTCTGTTGTTGTTTTTCAGGATCCTTCAAGAAGAGGGTAAATGTCCAATGTGCGGCGAGAACGTAGATTACCGGCGACTGGTCAAGATTGACGACGTTGCTGCCTATATGGACCTTAGCACCTCGGAATAGAGTTCAAGTTTGCGTGTATTTTTGTATGTACACAATTTTAATATCCAGTAGCTGACAAAAAGCTGTACTTAAAACTAGTAAAAGTTAAAACTTATTGTATTTAAGTAGGAATAAGATCTCTATTCCATTATATCTTTAGCACACTAAAATATGATTACTTCGTACGTAACATATATTTCAAAATTAAACAATTAAAAAATATCGTCAAACAACGATAAAAAACGAATGTTTTAAAAATAGATGCCATCAACATTGTACTAACACAAGGTCGTGTTAAGCAATCCAGTCTGCCATACAATTCAGAACTTAAAAACTCTATTGCAATGCACATAGAGTTGAAAATAGTTCATTCATTACAAACGATAAGCTTTAAGAAATCCCTCCGTTATCTTACAAGGTTAGTTAATTTGATTATTTTCTTCATAAACGCCTTGAGATAACAGGTTGTAACTAGTTTATTGTTGTTTTTATGTGATAATTTTGTGATTGGGAAATTGTCCGTCCAGTTAGTTTATAGTATTGTTAGTTTATGTAGTTTTAGCATTTAGTTGTAGTATTTAGATAAACTGTATTTAGTGTTCTGAACTAGAGTCAATTCATACAAGCGCAGATAAAAACGAAACGCCCGAAAATGCGCGCCTGAGCGCAATAAATGCGGGGAATGAACGCTTTAGTTGCCGGATGTAAGGTTGAATTTCCTTTGCGACATTTTAATTAACTCTACTTCGACTCTGCGCTAGTATAAATTGAACTTTTTATATATTTCCGTCCTATTTCATCCATTGAAGCATGTTTTTCATGCAAAGATGGAGTAATCCTATAATTATTAAGTATAAATTATATTTATATGATAATTAAAAAGTATATGCATTTCATATGTTAGTTTTATTTATCTGTAACCATGGGCGTTGACAAAATTACTTTCAAGGGATTCTAGAATTACTGTGCCTCAATTAGCAAATATTTATTAGTATTAATAGAACGAATTGGACTATATCATTTGTCCAATTAGTTCTATCTCCAAGAAAATATTAGTATTATGTTTGGTATCTTACGAATGGATCGAGATATTGTAAAATTTCGAAATATCATTGTGCGGGCTCGGAGGGATCAGGCTGTGGATCAGTCCTCGACGAGCTAGGTGCTTTGTGGAGAGCAAGTGGACTGTATAATGAAGTGGATAACTCGTACACTGATATACTTTATTACGATAATGTTAACAACACTAGTGGAGATTCACAATATTAGGTCGACTGGCTATGATCGACTTTATACATATAACGACTACATACATTGACACACTGACTGCGTGATATTTCATTGACAACTCATTGACAACTGAGTACACCTCACAATCACCGTGAGCAACACTATTTTCGAAAATTGTGAACATTATGTTTGGAATAAAAAAAAATGAGTTCATTTAGCCCAAGGTCGTACCCCTCCAGCCCCTTCAATTAGAAAAATCGTTTCAAAAGGTTGTGTGTATATGGTTTGCGGAAATTTTGTTATATTTTGACTAGGACCTCTAGTTTTTGAGATATTGCAAGATTTTCAAAAATAACCCTAACCAACACTCCTCGCTATTCATTAATATTAATGTATTTCTGGGATTTAAAAAAATAAGCTAATTTAGTTCAAGGTCATCCCCACAGTAACAATATTTTACGAAGATATATGTATAGGGGACACACCTAGCTTCACTGACAATTCAATTTGACGTTTCAAAAGTGTCTAATCCAAATTAATTCTTCGACTTTGTGAATATTTCGTTATTTTTTGGCTACCTCTAAAGCAAAAAGCTTTACATAGAGAGGAGTGGAAGGAGGGTAGGGAGGCCTTTGCCCTGCAGTGGGACGATCATGGCTGAAAATAAATAATAATAAATAATACCTCCAGTTTTTGAGATATTGCAATATTTCCAATTGGGTCACTTCCACCTTCTCTGACTAAGATACCTAAAGCTGTCGGCGCCCATATGTATATATTGTACTATTTTATGTTATAATGTAGAGTAAAACTATTATTTATTGAAATATTGTTCGATGTATGGTTGTATATTCAACACAATTTATTATATAAGGAATCTGTATGAAATAAAATAAAAAGCATAAATAAGTGATGAAACATTTAATTTTTCATTTGAAAGTATACCAAGTTGTAGTTACACGTCCGATACTGAGATTCAAATGAAACGCGAAACACAATTGTATTATACAAAACCACAGCAAGTTGGTATCTGGCACTCATTCAACTAACTATAACACTATAAAGAAATGTTCAAGTTTTAATAGAAGTAGTAATAAAAAGCAGTGTTTTTGCATTTTCTGTAAGAGTAAGCAAATGTATGTACAAAGTTTTTCAGGTGTCTAAAAATGCGTTTTTTTTTTTACAAAAAGTGTAAGGTAAAGAAGTTTCATATTTCCCGAGTAGTCTAGTCCAATGAGCGACAGTACCAACGCGCCCCACCCCCACTTACCGACTGTTACTCTACAATCAAGTATTGCCCTAATAATTACCACTACCTATCTATGCCTTAAGTAGACAATACATTTATACAACTTAAAATAATGACAAGACGATTATAACGAAATAATACAAACGTTAATAAACAAATTAATTGATTGTGCTAATAATACATGTGGAGGCTATAGTCCGCTATACGCGACTTACTATTTTAAAATTCAGCTAGAATTCAGCTAATTTTAACATTGACCGCCTCCTGTTCCACTATCCCATTAAAGATAAAATCTATTTTTTTTTTATCTGGTAAATATTTATAGTTCCTAGAGTCTTGGTGTCGCGAAACAGGGGGTTTAACTTTCGGTAAAATTACTATTGCTACTAACAAACAATATAAAACTTAACGTCCATTAACATAAGATCAAAAATAGTTTCTCGTATTAGGCTGATTGCTTTTCGGTAGTATTTGTAACCTTTGTTACTTATAGTTTAGCAGACAAGTGACAATGGAACATTTTCCTCAGTTCACTCTGTCGTACATTGGCAGGTATAAATATCAGGTAAGATTTCGATACATCTATAATGAGCTTCATACATAAATCTCGCTTCCCTTTTCATAAAGTAAAAGGGTAAGTGATTTTTAATATAAGTGTGATTCATACTTTTACAAGTTAATTTCGAAGAGTCACAATTACAATTTTTGCAAAAATGATATCTAAAGTACAATAGAATAAGATACAAAATCGATTAATGAAATATAAAAATTGGTGTTACACTCTCTTTGCGATGTAAACTATATCTAAATGACGCACGGATGTATTTCGATTAGTATAAAATCTTTACAATATCATGGAACGGATGAAACGCTAGTGAGTTTGGTTCAAGCGCTAGTCTTCTATGAGAACACATTCAATTCAAATAATCGCCATATTGGCCATTGTAAACGTAATAATTCAATAATATTTCGTCAAAAGAGTGGATCATGTCGACGTACCGATGGACGAATAATGAAAATAACAAAAATAATAACAATCGATCATAACACAGTACAACATTATGTTCCATATAAATATATGTATCAACATTCATAAATACCAGTGTTTAATAAATAATCTGATTTCAATATAATATATGCTGGCCGGATGATTTTGTATTTACGCGTCTGGTCCACTCTTTTAACTTGAAAATAGCTCTCGTAAAATATTTACAGATATATAATATAAAAATATATTAAAATCATAGATACGATGGCACTTGGTTGCGTTGTAAAAAGGTTGAAATTACGATATAAGTATTAGAATTAAATAAATTTGCTAGAACGAACAGAACAAAACCGCTACGTCGGGTATATAACAGTAAAGTAATACCAATAATAATGATTCGTGAAACGCATGTTATACTAGCTTAATAAGGGAATGTATAAAAATTAGTTTCAACTATATCAATGTTAACTCCTCAACAATAAATACTATAAATCTTTGGTTTCATTTAGTCGCTCGATTACAAAACGTTTCTCGCTGAGGGCGCGGTACGGTAAGCCTACGACGATAGGGAGAGGGAAGTGACGCACTCCTACTGCAGGTGCGCCAGTCGCTTGGGCAGCGCCGCCACCACGCGCACGCGGTCACTGAACTGCGGCGGCGGCGCCAGCACCGGCGCGTGCTCCGGCGCACACACCGCCTCCTCGGGCGGCGGCGGCAGCGCGGCCAGCAGCACCGCCGC